TTTTTTAATTATCCATCGAATTCTTTTATTCTTTTAACTGATGTCATTCTTTTTTCTCTTATTGAATTTCAGAGCTACAACGTATTTATGACATCACTTAAGCAATTATTTCCTGACTAGTAATTTAGCGCCTTAATTAAAGATAAATGATTTTTTCAGTTTTAAAATAATATTACAGGATTTTTAAAACAGTACATTTCTTTTTGATCTGAAGAATTCTTTTTGAAATTCTTAAGTTACGTCATTTAAATGATACTTAGTACTACACAGTATGTTATTCCTTTTTTAAGCAGATGTGAAAGGCCACTAAAATTTCATTCGTTTCACATAGATGAGCTAATATATCTTCCTTCTTTTTATTTAATTGATCAAGCTGCATTTAAACTTACGTGAAAACGATACCTCTTCTTTCTATTTATTTTTAGCTGATTAATTTATTTTTCAAGTTAAGTAAAGATAAAATATAATAATAATTGCTGTTGTTATTGTTCCCAGAAAAACAAATTAGCAAGGAATTTTTATTTGTCGTATTATATTATGGCACTCAAAATAAGGATAATAGAATCACTCGGTGAGATACGATTTTAGCTTTTATTTATGGAATATTTGCATCGAATGGTTTTATAGAATAGTTATATCGATTTTAAAGACAATGGGATCCCTTTTCTAGAATGAGCGAAAATACTCTGCGCTAATCCTGGTATCTGATGGTTAAGATTCTGAGTATGATGTGCCTTCTTTTACTAAATATAATTTTTTCCTAAGAACTTTTAGATTATGAGGAAAATTTGACAGCTGTAAGCCACCACACTCCAGAGAGATCCATCTGCTGGTGAGATTATCAAAATGCTTATGACATTGATCTTTTGCGTAAGTTTGACTTTACTATTTATTCAGTATCTAATGATATTTTGGTGTTATTGTGTGTCTTCTTTTATTTAGAAAAATTCTTTAGAATTTATATCGTTATTAGAAAACAAACAGATTATTATACATTTTTCTAAAGCAGTAAAGTTTAATCCGTATTTCAATCGAAATCAGTTGCAATTATATTTCCATGACTCATTCCGTAACTTGCATTTAATGTTATAATGGTTATTGACTACCTGGATTTATGCTGATTTCGAATCTTCGACTTATTTTAACTATTCGAATATTTCGAAATCTAAGTTAAAAACCATTGAATATTTTGTAGAGTCAATAAGTGTTTTTTTTTTAAGCAGGAGAGGTGAAAATTGTGCAATGCCGTCATCGGGACTCGAACAACGGACCTCTCGAATACCCGTCGAGTATGCTACATAATGAAGGTATGCAGAAAGGAAGGATAAAATACTTTATATATTCCCCCATTTTAAAAGGCGCTTGGGATTTAGGGGACTAAATCGCCAAATCCTGATGGTGATAAATTGTCGGCCACCACCTTTTAATTTGAACGAAGTCATTTTAGATTTTTTTTGAAGCAGGAGAAGTAAAAAATGCTACGCGTTTTTTACTGTTTAAAATGCTACGGGTATTTAAAATGTTTCAAATTAATTTGAATTCAAATGGATTAAAAATTCCCTTGTCCGCGAGCTTCGATAATATTGAAATTGGAACTTCATTCTTTATGCTGTCCATAATTTGATGACAAAATATTTTCTCTGTCTATAACTGGCATTATATACAAGTAACATAATACATATGAATTTGCGATTGTATTAGAAACTGCATATTTCTGTAGAGGTTTTAAAACAGCTGTTACGCATTAAAAGATTAACTTAGTGCAAGTGAAACTGAATTCTATCTCCTTCCAGTGAAACACGATTCAATCACATATTATCTGAAAAAAAATGAGTAGAGAAAAACTATTATATTCTCATATAATTATGAAGAATATAGGAAACAAAATAAAATACCCATGTGCTCAAAAATAGCAGAACTTTTGAACTGTTTCAAAAAGTATCAGGATATTCCCAAACTGTTCATAGAATTAAACCATGTTTAGCTCGAAATAGGAAATGTTTTAATCAATAAAAGAGATCAATAAAAGATATACAGTTATAATTTATACATTCTACTACTGTTTGGTTACAGTCTTTGTTAAAAAATGTAACTGTATAGCCCAAAATTTGACACTTGTTTTGAAAATTTTAAAACATTTCATTAGATTTTGAACTTCGATAGGATAAAAAAATTACTTTCTGCGCTTTTATGATTTTTTCGTTCATTTTGGACAAGCGCATTAAGAATCATGGATGAGAAATTCCTGTAGCTGCAACTGGTCATAAACTTATGAAAATGCTATGATTGTATGATATTAACCACCTCACAGGTACCAGTTTGGATCAAGACCATTCTAGAGAAAAATAGATAATCTCTCTTGTCATCTAATGTCACCAGTCCAAAGATAGCACTTATTGATCGTGTCACTGCGTAGATTCAAAAATCCCTTTCACCAAGTCCTGGAAGGTCAGGAAGGCAACAATCTGCAATAAGCCTTTTAACTGCCTCGGATGTTGCCTTCTGAAAATGCAATAAACTGTACCTTCAGAATATGATCAGGTAGAATTGTTAAGCTGTAAGAAAGAACCACAAAATTTCAAAAACGTGCATACTTTAAGAACCAAGGATTACACCAAATATAACAAAAACTATGCTTTCAGTAATTAAAAAGGTCATGTGAAAGTAGAATTCAGCGAAACCGAAGTGAAAAAGTATTCTCGAGAGGGATACCATTAGAACATATGCATAATACAAATGAAGTACTATTATGAGTGCATACAGTAGATATTGAGTTAGTTTGCAAACTTAATCATTGAACTTTCTTAGTTTTCATGTATGCAAACTATTGAAAAGCTTAGACAAACGAATGAAGATAGAAAGTGAAAAATTCAACGGTTGCAAAGCAGGGAATACTGAAATGAGAAGAACCGACTGAGTGTCTTGATATACGAGTGCAAATAGGATGTCGTGGACATAATTTATGAAATGCTATTTACGAATTGTGCAGAAAATAAAATGGAAAATATATAAATGTGTTTTAAAAATGAATAACCAATGAAAAGAGCAGTTTCTTGTTTTACAATAACTTGAACATAAAATCAATGTGAAGCAAACATTATTACTTAGAACACCTTTGTAATCTGAACAAAAGAAATGAAAAGTATTTTGCGCCACTTCTTTATTTATTCGAATAATGAAATGCACGTGAAAGGCTATCTGCCAAAGGGCAGAAATGTCTTCGTGATAGAGTGTTGGTTTATTCGGTTATGACAAAATACTTGAAAGTTAGCTGCCTAAAGGAAGGAATGCGTGCATGGAGGATTTTCTAAGGGGAACTGTCTCGAATACACGTTACACATAGGCAAAAAGAATGAAAATGCCCATGCAGCTAGCCCGTTCGAGGGATGAGAACCTCGGACCAAGCAACCAGTGTTCAGCCGTTGGTGGGACGTGGAAGAGGGATACTGACACTCGTGTTCAAAATATAAAATCTGCTTTTTTTGGTATTAAGATTTTTTCATATTTTACTGTAGTTTTATTACTTACACTAAAAGATAAAATCATCTAAAGGCTGCATATATTTTGGTCATATGTGTGTTTTGGAAATGTGTAATATGACTTATACATTTGATTAGTTAAAATATAAAGATACAATAGATATTAGGTTAGTTTACAAACTTAATTACGGAACTTTCTTAGCTTTTTAATTAATAAAAAAAGTCACAAATCAACTTCCAAAGCTTTCTACATTCCTGGAAACACAAAATTCCTCTTGCTAAAACTAGAAAAGCTTAAAAGTTTACTATAAATAAATGCACCCTACTGAAAAAAGTAGCTAGTTTATAAACTGAGCAGGCTGAATGCATGATTTCAAATGTAAACAGCTGTTTCAAATTACAGCGTTAACATAACCACAGTATCAGAATACCTTTTTGCTTAATCGCTACTGGTATTTCATATCATTTGACATGATACTTTCAATAAAACGAATATTTAGAATATTTTGAGGAATGTCGTATACCCCAAAATAGGAAATAACGCTATGCATCAGACCAAATTTTACAATCCTCAAAAATACAAATGAAACCATCATAATGGTTTTTCTTCCTTCGTTAATCAGCTTTAACAAAAATGATAACAGCAATAATAAAAGAGGTAAATATTTTTTCTTTAAGAAGATACTGGTTTGGTCATACATATCGATAAAATGAAGTACTAGATTTTCTATTTTAATCCCTGTAAGTTTTGAATATCTTTGGTAGCCAAGATGTCGCATATTTAAGAAGAAGCATCCAAGAAAGATGTGAAAAGCTTAATTATTTGAAAGCATTTTTCAATCGAAAGCAAAGATTTTCATGGACTGCCTTACTAATATTTTTATTGAAATAAATATTTATTATAAAATATTTAATAACATCTATTAGTTAATGCAAATAAATATTGAAGGATTCGGCTATTTCGCATGTTTATTGTTAGAATACTCTGCATTACCTAACTCTTGGTTTCGAAAATTTATGAAAAATTTTATCTGTGCAATACAAAAGTGCAATGTACATAATGCAGACTGCTATATACGTGCACATGCAGGAAAAAAAAATCTTTGCGGTGGTTACGTCTTTAAGGGATGACAGAAACTTGCAAAATTTAAATTTTCGTAATGCAGTTTTTGGTCTACCACAAAATTGAATACGAAAATGGGAAAGTGGAAATACAGTAAATAGGAAGAAAGTTAAAAGAGCTGTTTACAAGACGCAGAAGTATCTCATATAACGCGTATTAATATCCGTGATTTAATTGACTGCTCGTTTTCCATGTTCCTGTGTCCTTATTTTGCTTTCAGTTTCACGTTCTGCCGTACACTGTATTACGAAAATTGTTACTTTTACTAGGTTCTATTACCCTTTAAATTTGTGATCCTTAAAAACTTTGTTAAACCTTATATACAGTTGCATATATTTGCATCAAAATAATTCAAACACGAAATTCCGCAGAGGCTTAAAGAAATCTCAGCCACGTACTCACACAGAGATCTCCTGATTAGGTGGGGACCATAGATGGCTCATCATCCTCACCTCGCTCTGGTTTTGTGGCAACAGTGGCTGTGCCTCAGGGGTTCCCTGAGGATCCGTTTTGGGAGTATTGGTCACTGATGGAGGTCCCATCACTGCAATTCCTTGATGGTGCTTGGGTGGCAAAGAATTTAAATAGTGTGCAGGATTCATGCTAGGATAGGTAAAGTCTTGAACTTGCAAGTATTGACCAACAGGTGATGGAGGAGGGGCTCTTACAGGGTGTTGCTTTGTGCCTCCACTCTGAGTTACAGTACCTGGTTCTATGGCGTTACCGGCGTCCACCCTATTACCCATTTGCTGCTGTTGTTGCTATGATAAAAGGAAAGAAAATGCACATGAGTTACATAAATGACGAACTGACATTACAATTTGCAAATAAAAATATTAGAATAAAACTCTTAGAACACTAGCAAATCTTTGCGTATCTACCTATTGAAACAATTAAAAATCTTTCATGGACATCAGAGCTAAGAACATTGAATATTATAAATAAAGTAGTATGCGAATATGTACACATAAAATACACAGTGAATCATGTTTTAATACTAGAATTACAGAAGGAGGTCATTCGTGATACAAAATGTTCTAAACGTTGCCTCTAATATCCTTGCCTTGAAAAATTTAACTTTCTAACTTTTCACTTTTCGTAAATATTCAGAATCATTTCTTAAGTATTTTTAGAGAAATTTAATAACCAATTCCTTTTGACGAAACGAGAAAGCTAGAATCCCCGTAGTAGATAACGCTGATCTAAAACAGATAAAGCCCATATCTTCTTTTTCATGTGGCTTTCATTTCTGTTATAATATTATGAAATGTATTGCGCCTGCTTATCAAGTGTGTTTCATAAGAAAGGAAAAATAGATGAAAGGAAATGGATTCTCAAATATTTTGAAAGTAATTATTCAAAATTTCCGTCGGTATTCCCAAGTAATTGCTTGGCGATTTTAATATTACATATGCCATCATGCACTGAGTTACTTATCTCAAATGCTCTAGAATGTTACAGATTAAAAATGAAGCAACACAAAGAGCAGTGTGTGCCATGTAAGTTAAAGACTGCAAAGAAGTATTAATGTCATTCCGTTTTACTCTCATCACGTTGTAGGGCTGGGAATCTGCTAAATGAACTCTGGTAAAATAAACTTTGCATTTGTGCAGTTAAAATCTCTCTCTCTGTATATAACATAAGTCATATTTATTTTTTAGAGAAACATACATGAACACATGTGTGTATGTGCATATGTATTGCGATTAACCATCATCTGCAGTTTATTAAAACTTGGCATTCCAGACCTCGGAAAACTCTCTAAATACAAAACTGCACTTAATGTGCTAAAAGAGAGCTTGATTTAAACTTGTAAAGTATTGGCTGGAGAGGCTAACTTTAAACACATTCATTCTGTACTTTCTTTCGAATCATTCATTTAAACAAGATTTTGTGCACTTGCATTTTGACCAAAGTTTACATTTGTACACGTTTAACTTTTTAAGGTACTTCTACAACTGGGATTTAAAATTTTCACTTTCAATACAACATTATTTCACATTTAACATTTTAAAATCCATTTTACATCATTAGTTATAGTTGTTATACACAATTTACAAACTTTTCCTAAAATTTTAAGTTAAAAATTTTCACTATTAATTCAAGTCTTTCCGATTAAAAATATTCACAACTAGTTTCTCGCAACTTGCGAATTCTCAAAAATATATTTACAAACTAAATTCTAGCAAGCTTGCGAATCGAATTTTTTGCTTTAAACAGCATTTAGCAACTTTAAACAACATGACATAAATTGAACTTTTAATGCAAAGTAAGCAAACAAAGAAAGTTTTCACTTATCTTTTTGGTTTCTAAACTTCTCCATTCTGAGATGACAAAGCTGCTCAAAAGTAAGATATCGCAGCATTTGGAGTTTCATCCTTTGCCTTAGATGGCTAGTAATCCTTTGCCTTAGATGGCTAGATCCTTTGCCTTAGATGGCTAGATGATTAGTAAATATATTCTCCTAGCAGGTTTGAAATAACACAATCAATACGCAATAAATGTTTTTAAGAGAAATATTGCAGAATGATTCCAAATTTCATGACACAAACTTTCAGGGGAGGAACAGAACAAAGATACAAATAATATTCACATAGAAAACCAAGTCGAAGTCCATTTATTTAGCCATAAATACAACTTGAAAAGATCTTGCTTCAAACTGCGTCACAAAATTGCGTCATATTAGTAATTTGCATGAAGAAACACCGTTGCCGGTAGAGGGCAGTAGGTGTGCATCTCAGTAAGGGAAGACACCATTCGCGATTGTGCTGTCGTCGGTGGGAGACTATATATATGCCGAAAAAGCAGACATGCATTACATTTACGGTCGTGTAAACGGCAACGCCAAAGCTGCTCTACAAATGTATTTTCGGGATAGACGAATGCCAGATCTGTGAATGTTTCAGCGATTACATCATCAAACTTTGAAACAGGTTCTTTTCACGTCATGCTGGTCGACAAGGAACTGTATGCAATCCAAAATTCGAACAAAGCATCTTGAACATTGTGGTTGATATACCTGTATTTAATGCGCAAAGTTCTCATGTGTGTACAACTGAAAACCCAAGCACAAGGCGACCACATGCATCTCAATAACAAACCAGTGTAAATGTATGGGCGAGTATCGTCTAAGACTTTTTAATTGGTCCACTCCTACTTCCGCAGGGACTCAATGGCCAACATTATCGTATTTTTCTGAAACAGCTGTTACCAGAACTGCTGCAAGGTATTCCGATCTCCATTTGGGACCGAATGTGGTTCCAGCATGATAAGGTGTCAGCCCACTTCAGCATTGATGTTTGCATTTACTTGAATGCCCGTTCTGGGACGAGATGGATTGGAAGTGGTGGACTAGTCGCTTGGACACCTCGATATTTCCATTTATCGAGCCTAGATTACTTTTTTGGCGATATCTGAAGAGTCTTGTTTATGCGACGCCAGCCAACTCAGCTGAGGATCTCATTACTCGAATATCAGTAGCTGCTGCATATATGCCTGAAATACCTGGCATCTTTTTCAGTGCACTCAGTTCCACCGACGCTCTCAAGTATGTAACGCTGCTGGTGGACGGAATTTTGAACAGTTCTTGTAAACATCTTGCTTCAGTTGAAGAGAAATACACTGTATTTATGACTAAATCAATGGATTGCGACATTGGTCTCCTATGTGAATATTATTCATATATTTGTTCTATACCTCCCCTCCCTGTTTATAACATATTTTGGAACTATCCTATATATATACACTCACATTTCTCTTAAAAAAGCATTTATTACATAATGATTTCATTGCTAATGACTCTGCCGCACCACAGGGCTCAGGTTCAAGACCCAGAGAAGGCATGGATGTCAATTCATAGGGGTCAGCGGTGGCTCACCTATTAGGTGATTCCATAATAAAGTGATCATCGCTTCCGATCTTAGTAGTGGCCAAAGTCTATAACGGATTTTTTAAAATTTATTCCGCCAGTGGAAATAAATAAAAAAAAGTAGAACTAGAGCTTTGTAACAACTTATACTTCTGAAGTAAAATTCCGCGTTGTTTTATTAATGTTTTTAATTCTTAAATTGGACCAAAAAGGATTTTTTTTAAATTTTGCTAAGTTTTAATTTTGATTTTATTTGCTAACTATTTTTACTAGTTATTATAGTCCTTTGCACAAACATATTACGCTTTCTCGAATAGTATAATAACGAATATTTGAAAAATTATATATGTATATATATATGTAAATATACGTTCGAATTTACTTACTATGAATTCAATAGTTAGATTGCAAATTAAATTATTAAAGCATAAAAGATAAAATTTAATATTAACGCTTTTGTTTTCTTCTATGAAAGGATGATGATCACATTTTACGAGCCTACTTCGTAATATGTGTAGTACGGAAAGCACATAAGAGAAGCTATCCCTAGAAAATGCACTTCCTGAGAACAGCTAAGAAAAAGAAATTGTTACCGGAGAAAATTCTTGCTTATTCGTTTTAAGAAAGTGGGAAAAGCATCACTTTGGGGTGCAGCCAACAAATTTCGCAAAACATAATAAAACATCGCTGGCCATTAGTTGTATACTACCAAGAATCGGAAAATGCTTCACTCGAAGAGCTCATAAAATATTTATGTATTAAAGTAGATGTACAAATTCTCTCTTCTTCCCCATTTTGTATATAAATTTGAAATGACTAAAAGCATTAAAGATCTAGATGGTCACTCACTTATTTAATGCAGGTTTGTGCTCCAATGTAACTCACTGGCAGGCACAGCTATTTGCTAAATTTTCTGAAACAAAATGACTACTTCTTATTAAACAGTCTATGTCAAAAGATCGCAAGAAACATCAGAGCCCCGAGTGTGTAACTCACCTGAACATTGGTAATTCAATTCAGGTTTAAATCCCAGCAATTTGTGGATTTAAGCTGTTTGCTTTGGCGTTTTATTGATTTTTTTGACATGAAACATAAATGCAATTAAACTTCTCTGGGGAGGTTCTCTACGAAGACATCTTTTTGATTTAGGCGTATGTTACTGCTGTGCTTTATGTATTCAACTAACTAACCAGGAGATCTGAGGAAGTGTTATGTAGCTGAAAAACGACCTAATTATAAATTATATCCAAATTTGAGATGACATCTGTTTTTCAGAAGAATGAGAAAAATTATCGACAAATTATCGTACATGAATTGGATTTAATTGAAGCGTTTTGCATACATAAACATATATATCTACACTAATTAGAATATTAATTTCAAATCAGTCCTTCGTAATGATTTTAGAATTTTAATAGCTTAGTCTTTTTCACATCTAATTAGTATTTTTCTTGATAGATAGAGACAGTTTGCGTATGCTTGTTCCGCCCATTTTTCCTTTATAAATACGGTTCTCGCTCATCCCAGTTTTGCAGAATTGATTTCTTTCTGAAGTTAAAGGGACCTATATCCGACCTTTCTCGAAGTAGATAAAGCTTTACTCAATTTACGCAAAAATAAGGTTTCTGTTTCGTTTAATGTTAAAACTTACAGAAGATGCTGAGATAAACATACAAGTAATTCGAATCAAATTAATTGGCCTGTATATACTCAAAATTCCAAATTGTGTAATATTTTATAAATATTTGGGTAATTAAAACCTTTAAAATTTATGCGGACAAAAACACGCCATATCAAATTGTAAAGTTAGAAAAACCAAAACGAAATCCAAAACGAAGATAAAGGTTTTGTATATTATTAAAATGTACTCAGTCGAACTTTTTCTTTTATATA